AGCCGCGGCTCCTGCGCCCCCCCCCCCCGCCGAGCGCCTGGGGCCGGCGCTCCCCCCCCGCAAGCGCCTGTGCGCCATGTGCCCGGGGCCATGCCAGCCCCGAGCACCTGGCGGGCGCATGGAAATGCTCCCGCAGGCGCCATGGCGCCCGCGGGCACCGTGTTGGGGACCACGGGCGTAGAGTAACGGTGTGTCCCATTTGATGGAGAAAGCATCCCCAAGTGAGTGCTTCCCTAGGGCTACTCTGGAACAGTAGAGGCGGCATTTGTGGTTGGCCCTGGTCTATAGAACAGATATTTGTTAAAATCTCAGATAGAGTAAATATGAAAACTATAGTTAAAACATGAGTACTCTGAAAACTGACTGTAAAAAGTGGCATCAGACTTAACAACTTGATAAGAAGCTGAGCTATTTTCCCATTTGTATATTGGCACTAGTAATAAGGAATCAGCAAACCAAATTCTATTTTCACTAATCCCTGTATAAGTCTACTGTATTTAATGAAATCAAAATTCTACCCTGAAACTGAAATAGAGTGTAATAGTCCTGTTAATACTGCATAGCTATAAGAGAATCCAGCTCCTTTTCTCAGAATCAAACTGCAGAGCAAAAAAGTTTTAAAAAATTATCTTTGTAAGATAAGTCTTCCTGGTGGATTCCTTCCTGCTGTTGATTAATATTTGTTTTACTCTTTCGGAGAAGGTATTTTCAGCATCTTGGAGCCATGAAGGAGCCACACATGGAGGTGGAGTTTGTGTGGTTCAGGATGGAGAATTCTGCTGTGATTCTGGGAAAGAATATGGAGTTGAGGCGGAAAGGCATATGGATCCACTATCGTCATTCAGTGGAGGTAAGGATACCATGTTTTGTCTCGACCACGCTGGTACAAGGAGAATCACATTGGCTCGTTCTGTTCTGATTTTGATGATGACCTTGTGGAGCATGGGAAGGGATGGGAATGCGTAGAGCAGTGGTCCCCAACCTTTTCAGGTTGTTGGGCGCCAGGGGGCGTGGCCGTTCACCCGCCGGGCGCCAGGGGGCAGGGACACATGCACGCCCGG